TCAATAACGTCTACCAGCTTCGCTGTGTAGACTATTGTGTGTGTCCCCGTGTGTGAAGAACCTTTGTGTGTGTCCCCGTGTGTGAGGAACCTTTGTGTGTTGTGATAACAAAGTTCTTCAGAAGGTCAGATGTAACACAAACAAGGAGCAACGGTTTCAAGCTCAACAAGCCACAATGAAGGACTGAAAACAGATGCTTTTTCACCCACAGGGTTATACACCCATGGAACCGCCTACCCGCCGAAGCCGTAAATGCCAAAACTGTTCTAAAATCTACCTGGAAAAGATCATCGAGGCAAATGGGGGGGGGGCTTCGACAAGCCGCTGGCTTCCTGTCTTCGTCAAGGCCACTAGGGTTAGTGGCCCTCGGGTAAATCAGGAGTGTGTCCACGATGTTGTTGTTGTTAAAGATTCAGCCACTGGGAACAAAAAGTTGCAAGTAGCACGGGCTATGGTGAGCCCGTAGTGGACTTACCTGGCACAGGAGCGGTGCTGTAACTTGTGTGTCCAGGAGTGTGAGGAACTGTTGTGAGTGTCCGCTGGTCCGCAGGGAAACAGTCCTCACTAAGCTGCTCACTCACGACGCTCAACCGCTAATATTACAATATTTATTATTATTATATTCTTATAATTAGTGATCTTCAAGTGTAGGTGCGACCAGTAAGTACAACAGAGGCAGTAAGTACAAGGACAGTAAATACAGCAAGTACAGGTACAGTAGAGACAAGTACAGCATGTACAAGTACAAAAAGTACAATTCAAGCTTCACTCAGTCAACAAGAGTCTCAACAAATGGAGATACAACAAGAACATAAAACTGTTGATGAGAATAATTACTGGAAAATTTCACATTTAGTATCGATAAAATAATATAATTGTGATGATAATTTATGGTAATTACTTAAGGAGTAACGTAATGTGAGGTTTTAACAAAATGTTAGTTTATTTTTTACATTGTTTTTGTATTGCGTATGTTGATGTCAACAGTGTTAAATAATTTACTGTTTACAAATTATTTATAAGCTAAAATAAAGTGTTTTAATTGTATGATGTTTGGTTACTTGTAATTGTTGCAAAGTGTCGGTGATCACTGTTGCCACACAGTTGCACACGGTTATTGGCCACAGATCATTAACACAGTTTCTCACAGTCCCATCAATGCTATCATGTGTTTAACACCGACCTTTCGTATTTATTAATCCGCAAGTTACTTATTCGCTTATACCTCTACAGACTATCTTACTTTAATGCATTGCATCACTTGACCAGTCGCTTTCCACTTTAACCTAACCTTATCCTCAGTGGGGAGGCTACACCTCTCTCAACCAACTCCATACACAGTTTCAAATGTAGATGTGATAGAGCCCAATAGACTCAGAAACCTGTACACCAGTTGATTGACGGTTGAGAGGCGGGACCAAAGAGCCGAAGCTCAACCCCCACGAGCAAAATTAGGTGAGTACACACACGCGCGCGCAGCAATCAGAGGTAATGTATCAGAATGGATAAGTGTTACTAGAGGAGTACCACAGGGTTCAGTTCTAGCACCAGTAATGTTTTGTAAGAGCAGCTGCTGGCTTGGGAAGAGGGGCCACGCCGTCTCCGTCCCGGTTTATATAACCTCGGGTCAATGCGCGCGCAGCTTGGGGCGGTTAAAGTCAGCTTCCAGACATACGTTCTCTTCCACTCAGAAAACCCACCGTTTTTGGGAAAAACAGTGTTCTTTTACCCATATAAACGATCTACCAGCAGGGATACAGAATTATATGAACATGTTTGCAGATAACTATCTGTCCTCAGGGAGGAGATTACCTGGAGGTAATGGGTTTAAAACCACTATGTAATTACTTCTATTATCTACTCTCTGTCCATGGGTAGGTTAGGTTACATTAGGTTAAGGTTTGGTTAGGTTAGGTTTCATTATTTTTGGTTACATTAATATGGTGTATTATTGGCAAAAATATGAAATATGGAATTTGAAAACTCTTTGAGTGTACCCGAGAATTTCATTTACAGAAAACCAAATTCTTCAGATCGTATCAAAGACAACTTGTTCAGCATATATTTGTTATATTTTAAACCAACAATTTATGATACAATAAAGTTATAGCTTGAGAATATTCTCTGTTTAGGACAAAGGTTCACCTGCCAGTTTACATGTAGACTATTATCAGAACTGTAACATGCTTTAAGACCATCACAAATATCTAGATAACTATCCAGGTGCTTTGACGTATGGTTTGTCTCTGTAAGTGGATTTGCTCAGAAAATGGGCTGAGCCATGCTACTTGGGAAGATAAGAAACTTAGACGACTGTCATGCCCTCCAAGATGACCTGGACACAATAAATATATGGAGCAAAACTTGGCAATTTGAATTTAATGTGAGTAAATGCCACGTTATGGAATGCGGAATAGGAGATAATAGACAACACTCAACCTACACATTATGTGAAATTGAAATTGAAATTGAAATAAGTTTATTGAGGTAAAATACACACAAAGGGATGAGGTAGCTCAAGCTATTCTCACCCCGTTCAGTACAACGTGTTAGTACATACATAGACACACATCACAAACAATAAACCTGTTACCAAACATTCTGAGAGATAAACATGTACATTTCCTCCTTCACAAGTGGTATGGTATCAGACGTACACAAATACTTTTATGACCTAGTTATACGGATAATTCAACAAAATATTACAGTCTTGGTGCAAAATTCTTATATCTCTCAAGAATATCATCAACCTTTCCTTTGTGACACATCCAGGCTATTTGCTCAGGAACAGTCCTTATCTCAGTGTTTCTATATACATTAATCAACGGACAATCAAGAACATAATGGGCAAGGGTGTGAGATCTTAACATACCACATAGTTTACACTTCGTGTCATTATCATGAACGCCTATCCCATATTCCCAGTAATATTTGTACCCAAGCCTGAGCCGCATGTACACAGAGTCACTCCAAGCATTTCTCCTTTTTCCATAAGTGAAAAGGGTGTTTTGACTCACATACATGTAGTGTTGCATGGTTAGACTTCTCTCATACATTATCCCTCTCCTCTCCACTCCTGCCTGTGCCTGAATATTTCTGATTTTGCTTCTTATTTGTCTCATTGTGAATTCACATTCAATGTCAATTTGTGGTTTTGATGTGGCACGTTTGGCCAAGTCATCCGCCACCTCGTTGAGCACTATTATGTGAAAAGGCTTTAAAGAATTGATAAAGAAAAAGAACTAGGGTGGTTCTGAAAAGAAAACTGTCACCTGAGGACCACATAAAGAACACACTGTGCGAGGAGCGTTACTATGCTTTCCAACTTTAGAGCTGCTTTTACGTACGTACATGGATGAAGAAATAATAAAGACTTTCACGACCTTCGTGAGACCAAAATTAGAAAATGCAGCGGCTGAACAGTGCCCAAATCTCAAGAAGCACATTAATAAAGTAGAAAAGGTGCAAGGACATGCAACTGCTCCCAGAACTATAAAAAAAACAAGAGCTACGAGGAAAGTTTAAAGGTACCGGGATGGGGTTCTGAGAGTTTTTCTCCTCCCCAAGCCCGGCCCCGGGACAGGCTTGACGTGTGAGAGTTTGATCTAACGGGTTGTTGTTGTTTGGAGCGGCCCGTGTTAAATATACCAAAGCTAGAAGATAGAGGAAAAAGGGGTGATATGATCACTGCGTAGAAAATAGTAAAGGGAATCGACAATATTGACAAAGAAGAATTTAAAAACGCTGCAACTTCAAGAACAGGAGGACAAAATACAAATTATGGAAACAATTAAGCCGCCGAAAAACATTATAAAGTTCACATTTGCAAACAGTGGTAGACAGCTGGAACTTAAGTGAGAAGGTGATAGAGGCCAAAACAGTCAGTAATTTGAAAGCGTCATATGACAGAGTACTGTGAAGACGGAGTACCACGAGCCTATTTCTCATCCTGTAACTAAACTTGGTAATTACACACACACGCAGGTATCTCGCAGCCCACTGAACTGTGGTTGGGAGTCGCAATCCACGACCAGGATTCGATTTCCTGCCGAGACAGAACTAATTAGACAAAATGAGCAGTTTCTTTCATTTGATTCTCCTGTTCACTAAGCAGTAAATAGGTACCTGGGAGTTAGAGAGCTGCTTCGGGCTGCATCATGAGGATGTGTGTGTGAGTACATATATGTAGTGGATATGCTAAAGAACAAATCAATAGAGACAAATAATACAATAGACAACCGACGGTTAGAAAGGCGGGGTCCAAGAGCTAACAGCTCGAGCCTGCAGGCACAAACAGTAAATACAGAGAAAGAGAGTAAAACAATTGGGTGAATAGAAAGACAAGAGGAGACAGGCGGGGACGGAAGAGGGGAGACAGAGAGGGAGGGAGCGGGGACGGAAGAGGGGAGACAGAGAGGGAGGGAGCGAGGACTGAGCGTAATAAAGGGGAGTAATGGAAATTATGGAAGTGAGAGATATAAACGAATTAGTTGATGGTTATTACATTTGAGGACCGAAACATGATAAGGCGAGGCTTTGGAGAGATAGATGAACCGTTCTCGCAAAGCTCTGTATCGTATATTTTATTTTTAGAAATTATGTACACCTTCATTATATGTAGGCGCACAGTAAAATTATTCGCATGTCCGTCTTTCTATTCCTCTGATGAGAAATATAGACAACCTCTCAAACAAACGATATTAAGACATAAAAGAAGCGGAATAATGAAGTAATATTAAAATGTGTGCCAGAGTATAAAGGCCAATCCGGCATCCATAGATCATATTGATTTTTCTCGGATATGTACTTGGTACGGGTGCAGGGAGAGTCGGTAGTGGTGTTTGATCTGGTTGAGGGAGGAGATAGAGGGTCGAGGGACGGGGATAGAGGATGAGGACGCCGCGGGAGACCTCTGGCGGCGGGCGATATAGAGTGGCTTCACGGGGTCGATACCCAGCGCCAAGTGACAGCTGCTGCAGACGCTCAGTGATGTCCTGGGCGGCAGGAGGGTGAGACGTATATGCTCTCTCGCTCATAATCTTTCCATACACGCTGATAGCGCAGTTACTCGCCGCATTGTCCTTAAAATCAGCATGCAAGAGAAGAGTGAGGAGGAACCCGCCATGTAAGCCTCTACGGCACACGCTAGTCAATCTAGGCCCTTGCGATATTTTTTTTTTGTAATCCAAGTGGTGGATGGCGTTGGTCTTTAATTGTCTTTGTGTCCACTTGGAGTGTGTATGATGAGGTGGAGTGTGTGTGGTGAGGTGAAGTGTGTGTGGTGAGGCAGAGTGTGTAGTAAGAGGGGCAAGAGTGGGTGTGTGTGATCAGGACTCATGTGAACACCAGTGTGGTGGTCGACTGCACTATGGCTAGCGCTCCGGGCACACAGTCAATGCAACAGCAGCACCTACAACAGCAACAACATCTACAGCAGCAGCAGCAGCAGCACCTCCAGCAGCAGCAACAAGCACCACCGCAGCAGCTGGGCAACAAGCGACAAGCATCTTGCAAGACCAAGAGCAGCTCTGCCGACTACGCTAATGTCCGGACGGTGGAGTCTTCCCAGGTCAGTCTTACTTGTCCCACAACACCTCCCAGGTCAGTCTTACTTGTCCCACAACACCTCCCAGGTCAGTCTTACTTGTCCCACAACACCTCCCAGGTCAGTCTTACTTGTCCCACAACACCTCCCAGGTCAGTCTTACTTGTCCCACAACACCTCCCAGGTCAGTCTTACTTGTCCCACAACACCTCCCAGGTCAGTCTTACTTGTCCCACAACACCTCCCAGGTCAGTCTTACTTGTCCCACAACACCTCCCAGGTCAGTCTTACTTGTCCCACAACACCTTCCAGGTCAGTCTTACTTGTCCCACAACACCTCCCAGGTCAGTCTTGTCCCACAACACCTCCCAGGTTAGTCTTGTCCCACAACACCTCCCAGGTCAGTCTTACTTGTCCCATAATACCTCCCAGGCCAGTCTTGTCCCACAACACCTCCCAGGTCAGTCTTGTCCCACAACACCTCCCAGGTCAGTCTTGTCCCACAACACCTCCCAGGTCAGTCTTACTTGTCCCATAATACCTCCCAGGTCAGTCTTGTCCCACAACACCTCCCAGGTCAGTCTTGTCCCACAACACCTCCCAGGTCAGTCTTGTCCCACAACACCTCCCAGGCCAGTCTTGTCCCACAACACCTCCCAGGTCAGTCTTGTCCCACAACACCTCCCAGGTCAGTCTTACTTGTCCCATAATACCTCCCAGGCCAGTCTTGTCCCACAACACCTCCCAGGTCAGTCTTGTCCCACAACACCTCCCAGGTCAGTCTTGTCCCACAACACCTCCCAGGTCAGTCTTACTTGTCCCATAATACCTCCCAGGTCAGTCTTGTCCCACAACACCTCCCAGGCCAGTCTTGTCCCACAACACCTCCCAGGTTAGTCTTGTCCCACAACACCTCCCAGGTCAGTCTTACTTGTCCCATAATACCTCCCAGGCCAGTCTTGTCCCACAACACCTCCCAGGTCAGTCTTGTCCCACAACACCTCCCAGGTCAGTCTTGTCCCACAACACCTCCCAGGTCAGTCTTACTTGTCCCATAATACCTCCCAGGTCAGTCTTGTCCCACAACACCTCCCAGGTCAGTCTTGTCCCACAACACCTCCCAGGTCAGTCTTGTCCCACAACACCTCCCAGGCCAGTCTTGTCCCACAACACCTCCCAGGTCAGTCTTGTCCCACAACACCTCCCAGGTCAGTCTTGTCCCACAACACCTCCCAGGCCAGTCTTGTCCCACAACACCTCCCAGGTCAGTCTTGTCCCACAACACCTCCCAGGTCAGTCTTGTCCCACAACACCTCCCAGGTCAGTCTTGTCCCACAACACCTCCCAGGTCAGTCTTGTCCCACAACACTTCCCAGGTCAGTCTGGGAGTTTTACTCCCCCCCAAGCCCAGCCTAGGTTTAGGCTCGACTTGTGAGAGCTTGGTCCAACAGACTGTTACTTGGGGCAGCCCGCAGGTCCACATGTCCACTACAACCCGGTTGGTGCGGCACATCTTGAAGGAAACTTAATTTTTCATTTAAAAAAGTATAAATTTGTCCCGGCAATATTTCTTATACTTACTAGGATATTTAACAGTCGTGAACCTTTGATGTTTATAGTGTTCTCTGATTGTGCCAAAGGCATTTCTGCTCTTCACTGGCTGTGTTCTGTATTTCCATATTTCCTTCCAATATGGAAGGAAATGTGCAAATTTGGGACCTGGACTTAAAGTATTTTCCATATATAAATATATTATGTGATACCACTCTCGTCTCCTTTCCAGAGAACACATTTCGAAAGCTTTCAAACGGTCTCAATAATTTAGGTGCTTTATCGTATAAATTATCATCCACACTTCATGGGATATACAGCCCAGGTAAATGGAATGCTTTATCGTGTTTGTGTGGCTACCTTGAGGTGCTTCCGGGGCTTAGTGTCCCCGCGGCCCGGTCGTCGACCAGGCCTCCCGTACATGTGTGCCGTACATGTTTACTCTATAGCTTATTGGTCCATGGTCACATTTATCAAATGTCTTTGCAAAGTCCGTGTACTGTATACCATATCTGCATTCTGGTTTTTTCTAATGCTTCTGTGATTTCGTCATAGTGGTTGAGTAACTGCGAAAGGCATGATCTTCCCGCTCTAAATCTACGTTGACCTGAGTTGTGAAGCTCATTGTTCTCCATAAACACGGCACTGAGACCTTACAAAGACCCTATGCCCTATTCACCCTATGCCCCTGTTACCTAGCAGTAAAATAGGTACCTGGGTGTTAGTCAGCTGTCACGGGCTGCTTCCTGGGGGTGGAGGCCTGGTCGAGGACCGGGCGGCGGGGACACTAAAAAGCCCCGAAATTATCTCAAGATAGTATAATAGTTTCAGCTGCTGCTCTATATCTTCACTCTCCCATTTTAATTATTTGGTCTTTATTGAGATAGTCGTGTCTGCTTAAGTATGTCCGTTATTTGTTATCCTTTCTCTGAAGTATCGTCTGCATTCTCTAAGCTGGCCCTCTTTCTCGCTCCGCAGACGAACATGTTTTAAGCAGTCTTTTGTATGTTTCAGCAGTCAGTTGTTCTGTTCCTTGTGTGGGAGTTTCCCATTGAATGTTTACAAGTTCTATGGTTATTTTCCCCCCATTCAATCCACTTATTATTAAAATTTAATTTATTGAATAAGGCCCTCTCGCTTGATAATACTATTGGGTATATTACGAGTATTGGTTCACTTTTACTTCACACTAAACCTCCCAGGTCACTCTTGTTCACATACACCTGGTGGAGGCTGACTCCATACACAGTTTCAAATGTAGATATGATAGAGCCCAGTAGGCTCAGGAACCTGTACACCTGTTGATTGACAGTTGAGAGGCGGGACCAAAGACCCAAAGCTCAACCCCCGCAAGCACAATTAGGTGAGTACCTCCTGCTTGTGTAGGGGAGGGACTGTTGTATAGGGGTAGGGATTGTGGTGCAGGGGAGGGTGTGTGGTGTATGGAGGGGAGTGCGGTGTAGGGTAGGGACTGTGGCGTAGGGGAGGGTGTGTGGTGTGTCTCTCTGTATGTGTATGCACGAATGTGTGTATTATATATATATATATATATACATATATATATATATATATATATATATATATATATATATATATATATATATATATATACATACACACACACACATTATATATATATATATATATATATATATATATATATATATATATATATATATATATATTCAGAGTTAAATGTCAAGTTTTTCCCTGAGTGCTCTGTGTTCCCTTCTCTGAGGCTGTGGGTCCCTATAATTGCACCAGTGGTGGTACCCCCCTATATATATATATATATATATATATATATATATATATATATATATATATATATATATATATAAAAGCCCCGAATCACCTCAAGATAACCTTGACCAACCTATGTTCATCCCGTACCCCAGACCATTCCCTCTCCCAATTTGGGTAAGGGTAACCTAAAGCGTCTGGCGTTCAACTTTGGACAGATAGACATTCTCCCTTATGGTACATATATAGATGGACAGTAGTGTAAACACGATGTGAATGTCCGGACCAACAGGCTTGGGAGTGTGGCTCCTGTATGAAAATAAGGCCAGGTGACAATACTAGCTGAGGCTACGGGCTGGGTGTGGTGAGGCTGGGTGTGGCAGGACCTGTGGTCTCCTGTGTAATAATGGATAACAAAATATGACGAAGGTGAACACTGCCAAGAAGCCTCGTTAAAGTGTATTTCTAGATGAGTTGTATGTACAATAGTCTACACTCTACAGGCATATACATTATATATGAACAGTTCGAGTATATAGACATGACACACACACACGTGTGTGTGTGTGTGTGTGTGTGTGTGTGTGTGTGTGTGTGTGTGTGTGTGTGTGTGTGTGTGTTTTTGTATATCCAGAAAACTAAAAAGTACAAATAGCCATGAACAGAGGCTTGGTTATCTAACGTTAGTCTTGCGTTTCGTTGTCAACACTTGTGTGTGTGTATTTATAGACAGCTCTCTGCCTCTGTCTCTCTCTCTCTCTCTCAGACGCAAAATTAATGAGAAGAGTTGGTACCTACGGAGACACAGAATACTATATGAAGACCTAGACATGTTACAGGTCCTAGAAATGACTATTGGACATCAATAGCAGTAAATATAGGCTGATAAAATGAGTCCAGAAGACCAGTAGGACTAATATAGTATATATATATATATATATATATATATATATATATATATATATATATATATATATAAAGGGTAATGTCGACGGCATATGCGAGACCGAGGAACAAGAGAACAGCTTTTAGGAACCTCGATACAGAGGCCTTCAGAACACTGTACAGTACTTCGGAGGTGGCAGTCCTTGAGCACACAGCCCCAGAGTCCCCCACTTTTTTTGTTTATTTTATACGAGTTCTTACATTCTTGTAAAGCCACTACTACGCATAGCGGCCTTATTCCTGAACAAATCATTTGTTCAAGAATTTGTTCATTTGATGCATCACGTTAATGTGATCTGTGTGTGTGTCCTTATTCCTATTTTTTCCCCGGAATATGAACCGCCAAATCGTTTAACAACCAGGTACCCCATTCACTGATGGGTGGGGACAGAAGCTAAAGTTAAGGATTGGCGCCCAGTCAGTCCTCTCTGACCAGGATACGAACCCAGGCCAAAGCGCTCGCGAAGTGTCGGGCAAGTGTGTTCCAGTGCGCCACAGACTGCTAAACCTACACCTCAACAACTGTATACACAGAAATTGAAACCTACAGAAACTTTGAGTGATGCTCGTTTCAGTGCTAGGCTTTGTGAGATGTGGTACGAAGATATATTGAAAGACCTGGACGTAACGACATTAGAAAAGACATAATATTATATAAAATACTTAAAATAACTGACAGAATGGAAAATGAAAAAATGTTTGCTATGACTAATAGTGGAAAGAGACGTGGATAGAAGCTTGAGACAGAGATAAGTCATACAGATGTGAGAAATACTCCTTTACCA